ATATAACCACAACATTGATCAAAATGGGACTATTTGTATTTTCCAAACTTTTTTTATCCAAATGGATGCTGGATAGCTCGGATTGGTTTTAAAATGAAGCTAGAAGTCGATAGAGTCCGATTTTTAAATATCTGAGTTACTGATTTTTGACAGTCATCAGAAGCAGGAAATTCTAAGAAGACAGTGAGTATACAGGCGGACATTACGTGAAAAAAAGAAAATCGATTTTGCATCGATCCAGATAGTAATAAATATACTTCGACACATGCTCTATCTGATGGCATAAAAGGTTTTGTTACAAAGGTTAAGTAGCGTAGAAGAACCGCTGATCAAAAATACAAAAAAAAACGATTTTGAGATATAATGACATTATTGTTATGATACAGATTCTATGGCTAAAACTGTCATACCTTTTTGCTCAACCATCGCTGAAAATTGGAAGACGTCAAATATTTACTAGAAATGTTTGTTCTACAAACTGGCGTCATTGAAGTCGTTTTGGACTAGGCATTTTACTGGAATATTAGAATTTCAGAAAAAACAGTTTTTTAGAAAACTTCTTCCGAACCCTTTGATGGTGGCAAAAAAGTATGCGTTCTAAGAGACTATGTAGGATTATCTAATTATGTACTTAGCTCAACATTGATTCTTTATGAAAAAATCTATATTTCTGACAGGAGGAAGTTCAAAGGATGCAAAATTTATAAATAGCAGAGAAAAATGATATATGCTCTTCATTTTTAGCACTTGTTTTTTCTTATTTAGGCTTTACTTTGAGACTAAAGATAAAGCTGGCTACGATTTACAGGTAAAGGCAGTACTTAAGTTTAATACTATAATTATTCTACATACACTTTTACTGATTCAGACTCAAAAATTACAAATTGAAGCTGTGCAAAAAGCGATTTATCATGCTAAACGAATGTATCGAACAGCCTTAAATAATTTAGAACAGATATCAGAAGAAGTAATGACAAATAAATCTCACTTAAATATAGTTCATAGTTACTTTTGAATTTAATTTCCAGATACATCTTAAACGAAAAAATCGAAGATTAGATTTACCACCACGTGAACCCGGTGTTGGTTCAGAAAATCCTGATGATGACAACTTTCAACCAATAGAAATACCTGACTTAGGTAAGAAGGAATAATAGATTCAATTTTTATGTTGATTATTTTTGTCGTACATTTAGAATCTCAGTCAAATACTGTGACCTCAGGTAGGTTAGATATGAAGCATGCTGCTGAGAACAGATTTATGTAGAGAACACCTTGGAGTATCTAAGCATGTAAGAAGAAAAATTTTCATTTAACTTTAGCAGGTTTAAAAAAGATGAAATATTAAAAATTTAAAAGTCTTAAATTTTCAACTTTTTTTAAAGTC